GCTGAAAGGAACAACTGCACCTGAGGCGTTCTGCACACTTTTTTTTTCTAATTACAGGGATATTAAGTGCAGGAGGAATTATCAAGGTCATATTTTTATGCACGACACTGCTAGAAGCAAAAGAAGGCTCGTAGGAGTTTCTTCTGGTCGCTTAGCAACCTTCGGTTAGGTGACTCGCATTTTTCAGCATTTGACACAGCTGATGTAAAAGCACGATCTCACACATCTCCTTAAAGGGCTTTCACAGAGCCTTTAAAGTCACTGGATTCTTTTAGAATTAAACTAAAAATCATCTAATAGGCTGTTAGGGAGACATACATGAGCCAATAAGTCGCTTTGTATCTGTTGACTACGGCTTTCACGTCCACCCTGCTGAACATTCACAGACTGTGATGCTCTTTTTCCACCTCAGACCTGCTCTGTATTTTAGACTCTGAATGAGCTTACTGTTTCACTGCCAGCTTCTCCTCTGAGAGGCAGAAAGGCACAAGAATTGTGTGTGAGTGTGAGAAAGAGGGAGAGGCTAAGCTGCTGACATAAGTAGGTGGTATTCACACAGCCCAAGCAAGGATTTTAAGCCCACAGCATGACCTTCCCTGTCTGATGTTGCCAGGTTTGAGATACGTGACCACAGCTACTGTAACCTTTACAATAGACGAGCAGAAGTGAGTAAAAGAACAGGACATCTTGTGGGCGTTTTTTTGTACATTAAACCAGATGAACGCTCAAGATCAGCCACATCTGAAAACAAAGCCGTTTGGGTAATAAGACTAACTAGTCAAAAACCTACGATGTTTGCATTTACCACTAGAGCACTGCAAAATGAAAGCCAAACAAGGCGATTTTAACAGGTTTCAGCGGACAAAGTGAGTATGCTGAAGGCATTATCTTGGACACAAGGAAACTGTCAGTACTGACATTTTAAAGATCAAAGATTTCTTTGAAATTATTTTTAAAAGAATTCAACAGATTAATGAATAATGAGTAGTTGAAGTGAATAAATGTAGCTGAAAGCAGCAATGAGGGAGGGCAAACAGTTCATGAGGTCAAATTCAAATTCAATTCAAACTCAAATTTTTATTTGTCACACACACACACAACCATACAGTATGACATGGGGGTGAAATGCTTGTAGCTGTACAATGCCCGACCATTAAATGACAGAAAAGAAGTTTTACAATATTTACAATTTACAGTTTACTACAAAATTTACAAATTAACTTAGGAATTTACAGTAAAGAATGTGCAAATAGCAGAAGAGATTATAAAGGTTATAAATTATTGGAATTATAGGATTATAGGAAATGTGTGGTGGTGCGTGTGGTGACGTGTGTGAGAGTCCAGTCTTATAGTGACGTGTGTGGGAGAGTCCAGTCCTACACCTGGTTCAGGGCCCGAATAGCCTGGGGGAAGAAGCTCCTCCTCATTCTCTCTGTTTTGGCCTTAAGGGAGTGGAAGCGCTTCCCAGACCTCAACAGTGAGAAGAGTCCATTGTTGGGATGGGAGAGGTCCATCATAATCTTCCTAGCTTTGGACTTGCACCGCTTGGTGTAGATGGACAGCAGGTCAGGGAGCTCTGATTGAATGATGCTTGGTGCTGTTCCCAAACCAGGTGCAGATGTTTGCCGTCAGGATGCTCTCGATGGTGCAGGAGTAAAAGTTCTTGAGCACCTTCAGTGGCAGATGGAAGTCTCTAAGTCTTCTGAGGAAGAAGAGACGCTGACGGGCTTTCTTGACCAGGTGGACAGGTTTGAAAATCTGAGATCTATCCGGTGACTTTTGCAAGGTTGAATTTTAGTGACCACTGAAAAAAAATTTCTGCCTGTTTTTAAAAAAGAAAACTTTTTCATTAAAGCCAACATTTAATTTTTTTTCCAATAGAGCTTATGGTTCTGCTTTAGTTCCATTAGTGGTACTTCAGTGTTCAAAGTAAAGCAGTCAGTAAAATTGTATTTTTATTTTCACTGCTTAAAGTGAAGAGGTTGTTTTCGTAGTTACTAGTGCCACAAACTGATCTAAATCAAGTGGACAGAAACTACAGTTTAACACTGTAGATCAAAAAATCCAAGCAATATTTCAACTACATGTTCTTATGTACTTATTCTGTTTGCAGAGCCTTTTTTCCCCTTTCTAATGCTATAATGCATCCAATCCTCCTTTGTTAACATTTGCAAATATTAAAAAGGAAACTAGATGGCATGCATCCTATAAAAGATTTTAGTTTGACAGCTTCTAGTGTGTCAAACTAAAAACAGCACAAATTTTTGGAGCGCACAATAATTCATCCTGGGACTCATTTCAATAAAAGCTCTAAAAATCTGAAAATTAAGCTTTGAGCCATGCTGCTCCAAATCATCCTCATCTATCTTCATAAAGCTGTGATTGGCATCCAAGAACTTAGTCTATTTACAGCAGCCGCACTTTAACTAGTTCAAGAAACAGCATGGCAGCTTTATTGAGGGACTGGCAGGATGCTGTAATCTCTACTGCCAATCCAGCTGCTCCCATCCAGCCCTCCATTCAACATGAGCAGCTGACCAGCCCTGGAGGACACTGGTAAATCGCGACAACAGTGGGACAGATGCAGAACACATCTGGTGGGGGGGGTATGATGGCAAATTACATTATCAACACAGAGGGAGAGGTGAAGGAAAGGAGGGAAGAGGATGATAAAGCGCTGCCGTGTGCAGTCCAATGACACTTTCCAACTCAGCACTAATCAGAGCGCCTCAGACCATTTCAGAAATTAAACTAATACTCTGACACTGATGAGCGGTTAAACTAAACACAAGATCTTCATCCAAAATGCAGCACACAAACAAGGAGACTTCGTATTAAAGCAACCTTTCCTTATGCGTTTAGCTGGAGGGAAGACAGCTGCAGCACAGTACTGCAGAAATTGCTGACAGGTAGTAAAATGCAATCATGGAATCACGGGACAATGTTTTTCCAAGGACTGCTGCAGGTACTTCAACACCAACTTTTTTTGTTCCTCATGCAGGTGCTACAGAGAAAATTACATTTTATTTATGTAATTGACACATTTTGAACTCTTAAAGCAATATAGCAAAAGGAAAGACACCCACCTGAACTAAAATGATCCATGTAGCAAACAAAAACTGTTATATCGCCTTTGGGCTTTTGGAGCCTTGACCTGACTTTTAAAAAAATAATTGGGGAAAAAAAGGACTATGCTGCTAAAAAATGAAAAATAGATATTTGCAAAATTCTGCCTAAATATGTATTTTACCTGGTTAATGTGTGTGGCGGAGCGTGGTCTGCAGCGCCGCTGCAGGGGAGGCGACGCACCTGAGCGGCACCTGCAATCACGCCTCGCCGCCTTTACGTCTGTGCTCTCTATAATGTTGTGTTGGTGTGTGTCGGGCTGTGAGCTGAAAAGCTACAGCCGACTGTATGCGTACAGCAACAGTGTGTGAAAAGTGGTCAATAAAGAGATGCTGAAAAGCGTGTTCATGGAAACATCGTCGGGTCTGCCGTGATATGTTTACAATGGGACTTCTGCTCCTGAACCTCTGCGCACAGCGTCTGCAAATCGGGGCTGTACAAGTCACTTTCATCTTTACGCAGGACTGTAAGCTGTCGTCTGTGAGGCGTGAGCGGTGTTTGTCTTTAACATAGTTCACGGTGGAGAATGGCTGGATCCGAAGATCCATAATTGGCCTACCTGGGGTTGAAAGTCTTGATAAATGCACGGCGTTTCGGCGGGTATATCGGTTTCCGCGAGTTTGACTCTTATTTTGAGCGATGAAAAAAATAATAGAATATAAATTTCTTTTTATATTTATAGAATTACAAGGTAAAAAAGAACTAACATAAAAATAAAAAAAATAAAAATACACGTCAGCTAAATACTTCTAATTTATTTTCCCAAACCACGCGGAGCCGCACTGTAAGGACTAAAGAGCCACATGCGGCTCCGGAGCCGCAGGTTGCCGACCCCTGCCCCAGGTAGTGCTCAGGCACCTGTGCTTTTAACTTCTTACTTGATAAGTCCCCTTTTTGCAGATTACTTTTTTTCTATCATCTATTTCACAATTTCGTATGACATTAATGTCAAATTAGAAGCATATGAAGGCCAACAATTATATTTTTATAATTCTGCTAGATCACACAAGCCACATATCCTCTTTTGATTTTTGCTGTCAGCCATATACCTGCATGCCATCAGAGCGCCCTGAGGAACAGCATGATGTCTCTGACCTGCCATTACCCTGCGAAAGCAAGGTTATGATAGCGTTTGGCCAGCAAATATTCAGATGTCAGAAACACCTGCTCGGCATATCCATCTAGAGTCATTCATATCAACTTGCATGGAAGTGACGTTAATCTTACAGATTTGTCATCGTATTTATTGGTTATAGGTGCAGTCAAAAGAGGTCAAAGTTTGTGTGCGAGTCCGTGCGACATCAGTACCAGTATGTTGTGTGTGTGTGTGTGTGTGTGTGTGTCAGACCTGCTACAGAGGGAAAAAGTAGCGTGTATAATTATTTCTCAAATACTTTGCACATTTAGTTAGCTCCAAGAGTGTTTGCCTTAAATATTATTTTAATACATATCTAATCCTTAATTATGATGTGTAATATTTATTTAATATGTAGCACAACAGCAAGAAAGAACAGGTTAAGAAATAAACAGAAATAAAGATAACTACAGCAGGGCAGCAGCTCTCTTCTGTCCTGGATCAGACCATGCAGCAGTGAAGTCGATGAGGGAGATCAATAAATAAGTATGTAAGCAGGTAAAACCTGTGCTATTGTGCAGATTTGTTTTAATATACAAATTCTTATGTGACCTGTTTTTGGCTTTAGCACTTCCACACTCTTTAAAATGTTTTTTTTCCAAATTTTTGGATGGACTGCTGTTTTTCCTTAGCAGGATGTTTAAGGGCACTTAATTGCACTTTGTATACACCAACCCATTCAGATGTGTTATAAAACTGGAATGTGTTAAACAGCAGAGAACCAGTATATTTCACTTACTGCTGTTTGTGGTTCAGCTCTGCCTCCTTGTTCACCAGGTCCTGCTTGAGATTGGCTAGCATCTCCACGGAGACGTCCACCTGCCGTGAAAGCTCCGAGGCCTTGTCCTCCAGGTCTTGTTTCTCCTGGCTCAGCCGTTCACTCTCCAGCTTGGCCCGCTCCAACTCTGAGCTCTTCCTCTCCAGCTCCGCCTGAAGACGGCCTACACGGGCCGCTATTTTCTGCTCCACCTACAGTTGAGGAGAAAATTTTACCCCCCTGTGTAAAATTTAAAGTGTTTTTTTTTTTCCAAGAATTTCTAAGCATACTAGTTTTCTTTAGAAAATCAGATCAGAGAACGAAATCATGAAAAAGCATGCCAAAAACAAAAGAAGTCCGTTTACACTGGAGAAAAAAACTTGTTGCAAGAGATGGATATACAAAGTTATCGCAGTGTACCAAAATGTCAATAATTGGAGTGAGAATTATCAAGAGTTACACAGTACAGAACAAACATTGCAGAGGTAGAAAGTGAAAGAGTTTGAAGACTGGTTTTAAAAAAAAAATACAGTGTCTAAAGACCCCAGATCAACTTCCATAACACTAGTGAATGACTTAGCCAAGTCAGGAATTATAGTCTCAAAGAAGGCAATCACTAGAACCCTGCACAGGAATGGACTGTGAGGTTGCAGACCAAGAAAAACTTCACTTCTGCAGAAGAGACACTTTCAAGCCAGACAGAAATATACTAATTACATACTACTTATGCATATTGGAAGTGCATCCTCTGGTCAGAAGAAAAGAAACTAAAGCTCTTTGGCCGGGGAGATGCTACTTATGTTTGGAGAAAGAAGGGAGAGGCGTGCAACCCGAAGAACACTGTCCCCTCAGTGAAGCACGGTGGTGGGAGTATAATGCTGTGGGGATGCTCAAGCTCATCAAGGTAAGAGGAATCATGAAGAAAGAAGGAAATGTGAAGAAGTAGACTATTAGAAAATTAGTGAAAAAACAGCTAATGTCCAAGGACCACTTAAAAAATTCCAAGAAAGTCTGGCTCCTTGGAAGCAAAATATAGAGAAATGAGAGGTGAGTTGTTGCACAGGACTGTTTATGGACACAATTTCCTGATAAAGTTTATTCTGACTCTGTTAGCTTAGTGTATTTACCTCTTCAGACAGCTTCTCCAGCCTCTCATCCAGCTCCAGCCGTTCAAACGCCCGCGCCTTCAGCCTGGCCAGGCCTTCCTCATACGCTGCTTCGACTGCACTGGCTGCTACATTAGCTGCCACCGCTACAGCTGTGCTGGGGTTTCCATGGGGACCCGGATCTGTGGATGTCATGGCTTTTTTCATAAAAATCTCCCCCAGGGGAAACTCCACATTGGGAATATACCGGGCTGCAGTGTTGGAGTTGGCTGGGGTCAAACTCAGGTCGTCTGCACAAGGAAGCTCACGGCAAGGAAAGCGCCGCTCCTTTAAAGCTGAAGGCCGAAGTGGCTCAAAAGGGTCGTTGTTATTGGCGGGTGCGAGCAGAGCTCCCTCAGCCACTAGGGGCAGCAGAGCAGCAGCGTCACATACACTGTTGGATTTGGAGAGGACGTAAAGGGTCTCGTACGTGTGGTTGTACTCCAGGTGGGCACGCAACGACGACAGGCTTCGGAAGCGCTTGTGCTCCCCGCAGCGAGGACAGCGGTATGGCAGGTCCAAAGATGCCATTCCGTGCAGTAACTGCCGGAGGAGGGGGGGGGGGCGCTCACGCAGCACAATGGTAGCGCCAGTCTGAGGGCACTGAGCTCGAGCACCTGACAGATCCTCTCATGGTGAGAACAGGGCAACTACTGGACATCAGCAGGAGAGAAGAGCCAGGTCAGTCACATGACCGCACTGGGTGGCAACATTCAGCTGGTCGTCTCATTTCATCTGCTATGGTTGCCTTTCCTAAGGTCCTAAAGAGAGGACGAAAATACAAGTTAAAGTTTGTTGGTTTCATACAAGTATAATTCTAACATATACTGAGATAAAGTCACTCAAAGGCAAAAATCAAGTCAACTAAATAGATGCCAAGAAGCAGAGGACAAAGCTAAAGCTAAACCACCTGCCAAAATATACAAGGGAAAAAAAACAACGTGCCTTTTCCAGCAACACTACACGGCTTTTCCCTGCGACAGGGCCACATAAAACTCCCATTTGACAAAAAAAAACAAAAAACATTTTATTTACAATAGAGAAATGAACACAAATCAGTTGTTTAATCTGAGACATGAAAAATACTGGCTCATTTTGAATTTGATGATAGCAACACATCTCTAGGAAGACAGGGATGGGGTAACAAAAGTAGGTGACGCTAAAAAGAAACAGCTGGAGGAAAATTTTGCAAGTAATTAGGTTAACTGGCAACAGGTCAGTAACATGACAGAGCATCTTTTCTCAGCAGCAGAAGTGGGCCGAGATATAAAATACTATGTCTACATGAAGAAGAATTTTAATATCTCATCATCTACAGTACGTAATACAAACAACAGACTGAGAGAATCTGGAGAAATCTCTGTGCACAAAGCAGGCTTGAAAATCAAATATTGGATGTCTGTGATCTTTGGGCCCTCACGTGGCACTGCATTAACAATACGCATGATTCTGTCATGGAAATCATTGCATGGGATGAGCAAGACTTCCAGAAGCCACCATCTGTGAACACAGTTCACTGTGCCACTCACAAACGCAGGCAAAATCAAAGAAGAAGCTATGTGTGAACATGATTTATCTTCTGCGTTTAAAGCAGGCAAAGTGGAAACTTTTTCTGTGGTCAGACAATTCAAAACCTCAAATTCTTTTTTGGAAAACATGGATGCTATGTCCTCCAGACCAAAGAAGACAGAGATCATCTAGTTAACAGTGCTCAGTTCAAAAGCATCTCTGGAGATATGAGGAGCATCGGTGTTTATGAAATTGGCAGCCTAAACATCTGGAAAGGTGCCATCAGTGCTTTAAGGTATACACAGGTTTTACAGCAACATACACTCCCATCCAGACAACATCACTTTCAGGGAAGGCCTTGTATATTTTAGAGAGAAGATGTTAAACTACATACTGCATCTATTACAGCAGCATGACTTTATAATAGAAGAACCCGGGTGCTGAAATGGCCTGCCTGCAGTCCAGATCTTTCACTGAGAGCAGAAAACATTTGGAGAATCTTAAAATTTAAAGAAAATACCACAAAGAAGACCCAGGACTGTTGAGCAGCTAGATTTTAATGTCCTAATGTGAATAAAATATGGGGTTATGAGATCTGCAAAACATTACATTCTGTTTTTATTTATATTTTACCCAACTTCTCTGGAATTGGGGTTGCAAATCCTGGTTATTGTTACATTTAGCTAAGCTTTATTACAATATTAGAGAACAGTTTTCCTAACGTCCTCACTGCAGGCCTCTCAATATTTACTACTCCAGCTGTCTGATCACTGAAGAAATCAAAGCCTGTCTCTCTCAGCTGGACTAATAATCCATGAGTTTAGCCGTCAAGAAACCTGAAACCTTTACTTCACCAAGGATTAAAAAGCAAGCTCTTGCACTTGTACTCGGGGAACGGTGGGGAAATGGAAATGGAAATGGATCCATTAGTGAGAGTGCTTATTAGTGCCAAGGTCATTTTCCAGTCTTAGTCTAAGAGGTCAGACTGGATAAGGCTAAATCCTTTACAAAGGGATCTGGTAACCCACAGTAGTAAAGAAAAAAACCCTGATATCTGTTTTCAGAGTAACGGCCCTCATAGATAATGAAGACAAGAAAAGAACATGTAAATGCATAGCAAAACTTTTCCTTGGATGCATTTCTGGGTAAAAAAACAAAACAAACACAGTTGCATTCAGAAACTGAAGTTAACTTAAGATATTCAAAATTATTTTTTGATTACTTTTTCCCATTTGCTATTCAGATGCAGAGCTGTGTGGGTCACTGCAAGAACAGTGAATTCGTTTTTTTTTTTATTCAATTACCCAGAACTTGAAGCCCCTGATGAAATAAAAATTCAGCACACCATCCTTTTCTGGTTTCCCTGAATCAGCTTCTCTAATTACTGTAAAGCTCAGTGTTCTGCTCAAGTCTTAGACACAAGTGCACTGACAAACAATACTGAGTTCTTCACTCTGAGCCTACACAGCTAAATAATATCTGTAGCAAGGTCTCATTTAGAGTCAAGTCCTGCTGTGATTCATTGTCTTAATAAGAAATTCAGTAAACTCATGTTCTTGGATGTATTTGTTTGCTACATTTTATTTTATAAAACTTGTTTAAAAAAAAAACAGTGCTTAAGACTTCAGTCACATAGAGCCTAGCAACCACCAGTTGCTAGGAAAAAAATTAATATTCCCTGAGCAGTTGGTGAGTAGCTGCTGAAGGTTGCCAACAGTCACTGCGGTTGCTAAAGTCAGGCCAGGGATCCCCTGGTAACCACCGGTTAACTTCCACTCTTTGATTTGCTGCTTTCTGTTGCTAGGTGAAACTCCTCACAAAGAGGTATGCAGTGTTGTACTAAAAACCTCCTCACGACTGCAGACTGCCACAATCACCCACAAATATGCACAGAAATCAGCAACTTGAAAAAGTGCGACAAAAAACCAGAAACAGACCGTTTGCAATCAAAGTCAAAGGTGCACCTTTTAAAACATGGGCGAGGGAACTCCAGGCCTCGAGGGCCAGTTTCCTGCAGGTTTTAGACGTATCCTTGATCCAACACAGCTGATTCAAATTGCTAAATTACCTCCTCAACATGTCTTGAAGTTCTCAAGAGACCTGGTAATGAACTAATTGATTCAGGTGTGTTGGCTCAGGGTGATATCTAAAGCCTGCAGGACACTGGCCCTTGAGGCCTGGAGTTGCCCACCCCTGTTTTAAAACATGTCAGTTTCACCAGTATGGCACACCCTTTACTTTGACAGCAATCACTTCTTATTTTGCAATGAATTGTTTTACAATCGCTATATGGTTAGTCAGTGAGCATTTGCAGACAAGCTGGCGTCTTCCATGCAAATCACAGGCAAACACAACAACCTACGAGCAAGCAAAGCAATCAAAAGGTTTTTTTGATCTCTCTCTGTGATCAATTTACAACTGCCAGTAGCCACTCGTCAACCAGTCAGGAATACATTTTTCCCTAGCAACCAGAGATAACCAGGGTCTCTAGACCCCTGTGACTGAAGCCTAAGCCTGATGCTTCCTTACATATAAAAGAATTATTCCCAGCTTTTTCAATTTAAGACTGTTTAAAAGGATCTGTATCAGACTGCTGCATCCCATTTGCTGCTGCACTGAACGCCACTCCCCTCAGCCACACAAAGCCCACTGGAGACACGGCGGTAGGCGATGCCTTTTTCGGTCACACTTTCCAAATCATTACCAATCTGTAAATTTGCAGTCTAGAAATAAACCAGTCATAGTTCCAATCCCAATCATTACAGAGCATATCTTTATTAGGAGTTGTGCTCATCCAAAGGTGAACATTTCCAGGCAGACTGCGATTTATAAATATTATATTGTCAATTGTGTGTTGGTGTTTTTGGCTTTAGTGTGTACTCATGTGTGTACTTTTAGTAACGATCCTGAGGAATCTCCATAAATCACACCCAAGGGTATTTTTAAGGAAATGTTTCCCTATTGACAAGAAAATCAAACTAGCATCATTACATGTGGAATTTCTTAATGGTATCAGTTTAAATACTGGGTAGTGTATTATCTGCATTTTCAACATAGCACAAGCTACTTTCTACTATAAGGCAAGAACCATTTTACAATGACTGTAGAGTAGTGTTTCAAAGCCATAGAAAGCTCATGCTTGAAGCAGGGATTGTTTTACCAGGTAGTTCCCACCAAACCAGCCTGTTCTCATTCCCAGGAGTCACGTACTTCCAGGCTGTCAAAGGCAGTGGGGTCTCACAGATTTGACAATGTGTCCTCTGGGACTGGTGCCATAACACAGTCGGTTATGCATCAAGAGGCACATTTTAACCCAAACCACAATCTTTTCCTAAACCTTGCCAAGTAGTTTTTAGCTCCTAAATCTAACTAACAAGTGAGAGTAAAAACCAACACTGGCACTTGAACTGGAACCAACTCTCAGAGATCTCCTATCTCTCAGAAACTTCTACAACAGCTATTAATGAGTGAAGCAGCAGGCACTGGAAGCACAATCACAAATCCCAGATGCAGACCATTCTTCACAGTGGGCTCATACACTGGAAATCCCCAGAAGTCGCACAGACTGTTATTAGACGTCTGGTGAGGCTGGATCAGGGAGTGTACTGGCAACGCGTCCCCATTTATTAAAGGAGGAGGATTTCACAGACACAGTCACTGCACTGCAGTGAGCAGGCATTCCCATCTGCTTAAAATTACTCAGTGAGGTATTTAAACAGGCAGGAAAAGGAAGGAAGCGAAGCTGCTTTTAGCCACATGTCACATCCTGTCAGTGGAGCTCAGCTGAAACATTGAAAAGAAATGCATTTAATTTTCTTTATTGTAGAGTACTGAATAGCAGACATTAGAAATACAAAATAGAAACTATTGGGAAGATAATGTATGATTTACTTTACTTCATATGCACAGAAAGCATATTCAGGCCTCAATAAATGGACATCATTGAAGAAACACAGTCGCCTTATGACATCAAACAGAGTAAAGATATAAAAATGTATTTGTTTGCTTTAAAGTAGGTGGTAGCAGTTCAGATTTTAACTCATCAGCTCCACTTCAGTGACCATCAGTAACAACAAAAAGCCATCGGTCCCATCAGATCAGCTATCCCATCTGCCTCAAACATTTTGCAACCTTTAACTGCCAACTGAAAGGCTGTGTGGCCAAACACAGATCAGCTTTACAAGCTGTCCTTTAAAAGTAGAAGCACTAGAAATGTGAGGGAACGCTTTATGATAGCTTACGTTCTCGTAAC